TGATTAGGGCTGACTTCTGTCCAATCTCGGCTATTATTACCATACCACGTGACTTGTAGTCGAGATCACAGAAACAATGCTCGTTATAATCATTGCAATGAGATATTAATCTGAATTTTCTTGTTTCTCGCCTGGCGGAAATACTCTGCAGATTCATATTTGAACATCATAGGAATTCTCATCCATGTAATTAAGTTCATTTCATGTTTTGAAATTGAAATTTTGAATGATTACATATTTTTCTATTTTTAAATCTCTATCATTCCATTGAAATTAAAGTTGGTTCAGACAGTATTATCAAGTATTGATTGATAAGTACTTGAAATATCTGTCATACGCTGGCATGAACAGACAAATAGCCTCTGTCGGGGATTGATCGTTAGAATACAATATTAAGCCTTGATGAACATCTTAATTGTTTATTTTATTACTCTTTATTCGTCATACCGCGCGCATCGTCGCCATTAAGAGGTCACCCCTGTGTCCTGCAAGCGCACTCGCAACGTTTGATGACTGGTTTCTGACCTCCAGTCATCATTCTCTATCATACTCGGACAAAGACCAAATTATCTCGACTGGGCTCAGTATTTAGTAATTTACTGTACACTTAGCTGAGGATTGTGTTGCATGCTGGGTAAAAGACTCCAATACTGCATCCGCGACAGATTAATGGCCGCTATTTGACCTTGATCCTGGTGTTTAATCTCAACAGGCAGCAATAATTCTATAGTAGACAGTCACCGGTAGCAGGCGCTGTACGGAGTATTCAGTGACAACCCTGTTGGGAGGGGAGATATAGCGGTTTTGTAAATGGTTTCCTAATACGTCCAGTACGTTGTCTAGCATTAGTCAATCGTTGTAAAGGTAAATGTACAGTGTAAAGTAGTTACGTCAGAGTGTATTTTTGTTGATTAATGAAACTAACATGTTAACTGGCATGTGGTCTACACGTTCTAACGAACTGCCAATACTATTTCAGAAATGAAGTGAATGTTTAGCGTCATAGTGTTGGAAACGTGGAGATATGTTGGTGACTTAAACTTTTCTCTCCAGATAAGAAAGCAAACCCGTGCTCGACAGCTTCATGTCATGACGAAATGGAAATTGCAAACACGAAATCAACGAATAAGACATTAACATTTGAATGTCTTATCATAATAATAATAATACTTTTATTAACGCTTCTTAAAATAATAAGTAAAACTTATTTTATATATATATTTGTAATTTATGGGTATTTGTAAAGCGCTATATAGTCAGTCCATCCCATCTAAATGCATGCTCAAAGCGCTTTGTTTTCCCTCGATCATTGGATGTCAATCTGAACGGCACATTGTAGTTTTTCAGTCTCAACTCCCTTTGGATCATACAACTCGTGCAGCCACTAGGCGCACCAAGTAAATGTGTCTTTCCCATCCGAACGAGGTACCCATAACGAGGTACCCATAACGACGTACCCATAACGAGGTACCCATTCACAGCTGGGTGGACTGTATTTGGAAGTGTTTTTGAAACTCGTTCATGTGAGAAATTCGCCCATGTGAGAACTAGTTTTATATTTGTTAAGATAAGCAGAAGTAGATCATATTGACAGAATTACCTTTGAACTTTTAATGTTCGGTCACGTGGACGCTGTCATGGCGGCCCTGGCCACTCTCCGCACCGTGACTAGGCGATGAAGGCCACGTGAAGACGCTTAATGGACTACCCCAGTATGACGTCTGGACAACGGTTCTATTACGTTGCCATGGTAACCGATACACGTTTTAAACTGCTTCTATATTGCCTTTTAACCAGCATGTCGTTTGAAGTATATTACAGTCAAACCCAGTTCGCGGACCGGCTTTCTGATAGTGAAATGCAATCACGGCATTGTTCTCTTTGGCTGTTGTGTTTCGTCACTGCCAATTACCAAGAAAGGTTTCTGAAATTACTGATCTGACTTCTAAAAGCGAATTTTAAACAAAGGATTCTCCCAACCCTTGTATGATGGTATTACAAGTTTTAAGTGTGTGATGTTGTAAGAAGACCGAGACTTTACGTGGGGCTTGACGTCACGGCGCGACGCGAAGCGAGAGTTTGCAAATTTCGTCCATTGTCAAGGAGGGTACTTGTCGGCCATGGGAAAAAGGACCCATAGAGCACCAACTACTACCGGCCTATTGACTGCCCATAATTCAGTTTACGCAGGTTCACTGCTGTAATGTAGTAACAATTGATTTCTGGGCTCATTTGCCACAATTTTGCACTCAATTTGACGTTCATCTCTCGCGTCGTTCCATCAATGTACTCCCGAACACGACACAGACTAAACATTAGTACTCGATAATGGGCTACCTATGCAGCCGTCTGTTGCGGCCATCACAGGGACCATTACGACCTAGTCGTGCTTGTCCCGACTTCGTGGTGTTGAGACGTCAGTAACGGCCTCGCTTCGACCGACGTCACCCCTTCGTGGGCCAGTTCATGCCTGCTGCCAACAGCGTTGATTACGGCTAACCCTAGCGGCCTCGGCGACCTATTCACTCCAATGTCAACACTGATTTGGATTCTGATCGTCTGCAATCGGCCGGATCATCAAATGTTTGATCTGGGTCGAGGCAGCCATTCTGGTGAAGATGGGCGATCGGAATCCAATGGAAGGGTCCATAGGCTTTGCTGACCCTTCTGGAAGGCTATGAATGGACGCGAGGATCAAACGAAAACTCAGTTTGTCTGCAAGCGGCCCGACCTCAGCACAGGGCGAACTTAAGCAGGTTCGTCGGCTAATATTGGTCCATGCAGATCTCAAATGGAACGCTGTGTTGATAGAGGCAATATTACCAAGGACTATGATATGAGAACAGGATTTGCAATCGAAGCGTAGAATTGATTCGTAAGGGATAACGGGCATGAAACAGATGCAATTACACGCAGACTAATCGCGTGGATCATGCAAAGGCTAGGGGAACACCTTTCAGCATATTGTAGCGGGACGATATCGGAATCCTAGTGTGGCTGAGGAGATGTGTGTTAGATGTTAGCCGCTGAAGATGAAGATGAATAAACCGGCTTGACCTTTGCACGCTAGCTGGGTAACTGCACTCTGGAGAAAACGCACAAAATGGTACCGCTAATTAGTATCGATCTCAAGGAAACATTGGGATCGATAGGAAATGACGCGTCTATTTCGCAATGGTGATTGTTCCATTCGGCGGTAGTTGTTATGGCTTCTCAGTGGTTCTGTTCTCTTTGAAGAGAAACTAAGTCCCTGGTATAACGGACATTCATGGACTTCACGTTTTTAGTTAGTGTAGTTAACTCCTGTCAAAGTCGAACCTCATTAGTCTAAGCACCTCGATATTACAACCGGTACGTTAAACAGGTTTCAGTCAGTAATAATACTGTGGGGCGGTGGGGTAGCCTAATGGTTAAAGCGTTGGCTCGTCACGCCGAAGACCCGGGTTCGAATCCCCACATGGGCACAATGTGTGAAGCCCATTTCTGGTGATGTTGCTGGAATATTGCTAAAAGCGGCGTAAAACCAAACTCAGTCAGTAATACTGTGCTTCTTTAAAGAAAACATCTTTACTGCTGTCACCATCCGGATTTGAAGTGTCCTTTGTAAAGAGGTTCGGTGTAACCATGTTGGATGTAACTTTGGTGTGACCAGATTCGGTGTAAATAGGTTCCATGTAATCATGTTCGGAATAAGGAGGTCCAGTTTGATGAGGTTGGGTGTTTCCAGATTCGGTTTAAAGAGGTTTTATGTCAGTTGGGTTACCAGGTGGATAATCTTGATTCTCATTCTTTCAGTTAGTCTTTACATGAAAGCAGTTATTTAATAAACAATCACTTCCGTGCATGTGTCATCCCATCCTCTTGCAAACCATACACAGCTGACACTCATTCCTTTGGAGAATAATATCTATTAACCTTTCACGTATCTTTAGTTCGGGAACTATATATTAGTTCCAGTTTACGACATTTTCACATCCACCCATCTGTGGTATGCTGAAAGTAGTACCCCGCCCTAAACCATTATGAAACTCAGATTGACGTGAGCTAGTTAGCTTACTCTACTATATTGCATCCCGGCGATATTTAGTCAGTCACGTTTCACTTCCTCCATGGTATATAACTAATAACAATGTTATCCAATATGTCATAAATGACCTTCATATGATCCCATTGTATATAAACATGTTATTAATTCATACTTCCAACCGCTGCACGCTTTCTACGAATGTTATATACAACGCGATTTTTTTTTAGCGGGATGCCAGTCATTCCAGTCGATAACATCTTGACACTACGATATTTGGCATCTTCCTTTAAACCACATACCAACCTCTACCACGACGTTTCAGTACAGAATTGAATTATACTCCACACAAGCTCCAGGGCTAGACTGATGAGATATAATTTGTTATAAATTATCGTAAATTGCTTTTCAAACATCTGACATTCTCAGTCTCCGGCGTAATGGCGGTAATTGTCGCGTCTCTGCTGACATTTGAGGTGTGATGCAGCATGTGGCGCATCCCAAATGGATGTCGATTCGCGAATGATGAGGAAGGTACCTGATGGATATTACAATCAGGATTACCGGATGATGGTGGGAGAGTTTATTATTACCTGTGAAGACGTTGTTTGTTATGACGTGTTTTGCAAGGTCATCACTGCGTTGACTAGTTTGATCGGCGTGGTAGTCGACTATAAGGCCTTCCTAACTTCTACGTTTCCGGACCTTGAATGTGTCTCGATACAATCGACTAGAGTATTGCAGAAGGTCAACAGACCATTTTTGTGAAAGAATGTTTGTTCAGCTTTCTACCCTGAATAATAGAAACGGGTTATATTTGAAATTTGTACCTTCAATTGTTTTTCAATATAGCATTTTCAACGTTTAACGTGTGATGGTTACTGAAAGGAAGAATATTTCTTGATACTAAAGCATGACGATGTTCATTTTATTTTTACAGACATCAGAGTTTAATGTCGTCTGTCTTTGTTTTCAGCCATTGCGCAGACGACGATCTTCGCGGGAAAATTCGGATGATTACAAGGCAAAACGTGTACGGAGACAGAATGACTCCAACTGTACAATGTGCCTCCGTGGAACTCTCCATTGTTACAATGTCTGTATATTGGTAAGTGAACAAGTTCTTAATTGGAAATGACTTAAAATATATACTAAAACATTATGAAAAAAGGTCTTGACCGATAAACAAACGTCTTGATCTCGTGTTCTGGAGATGTAGTCATTGATACATTACGAAGGTCACGGTCGACTAATCGATCTTAGCGCTAAGATGATCAAATTCCTAAGCTTACGTGCAACAGTCGTACTTAGATTGTTTTTGTGGACCCGGACTCTGAGCTCAGTTGTGACCTTTCTGACTAGGTCATGATGACCTGACCTTCAAATAGTTGCTTACACCATGACTACATTCTCTCGTTTGTTTACACGCGGTTGCTATTTTATTCCTGGCAACAGCTTGCTGTGATGCAGCTGTAAAAGAAAAAAACAGCTGCCAATAGCTGTAGTATTGATGGATCTTACACTTCCAAGCTGATACTGTCAATGCTACCACTGTCGTGGTTTGAACAGTTCATGCATTAACCGATTTTGATATTTTCTGTGTTCGAACCTGGTACAGTCAAACCAGTGCTAAATATTACAGTCAGCTCACACATCAAAACGGGGATCCAGACATTAAAGGCAGTTCCACCAAGCAGATAACACGTACAAAAACCTGAAATACTCATTTCACTCACTCACACATGGTATCCATGCTATCCCATTACTAGTCTATCTTAACGGCGTGTGCCATATAAACAGATCGTCGGTAGCATGAGCACCGTTCGCGTTGTTTGTCCTAGACACACATTCGGTCATATAGTTGTACCATCCGATCCTTGTTTTGTTTAGTCGAACTTTGGGGAATCTATTTTCCTTACGAATACCCACTCAGTTTGACTTAATGTTCACATAATTATACGTTCATAATAATAATAATAATAATGCAGAAGGCTGCAGTGTTGGGGAGCCTTCATATTCCCTGGAAAGTTCTTGGTGGGTTTGACTAGGCAGTCTTTCCTGGGAGAAGTCCCATTCGCTGTCTGGGCTGCGTGTAGAGGGGGCGAGGGCCCTGGGCTGATGATGAGCCTTACCAGCCTGACTGTGCCAGGATCACCCGAACCCTCTCTGCTGCATTTTCATCTTTAATCTGTAAAACATAATAATAATGCACTTGTTGAGCGCCTAATGTCCAACCGATGCTCCTCTATGGCGCTTTTACAGGGTCAGTGGAAATAGGAAGGTTTTCAGTTGTTTCTTGAAAGAGTCTAGTGAAGTGACCCGGGTTCGAACCCCACATGGGCACAATGTGTGAAGCCCATTTCTGGTGTCCCCCGCCGTGATGTTGCTGGAATATTGCTAAAAGCGGCGTAAAACCAAACTCAGTCAGTCAGTCAGTCTAGTGAAGTGCAGGATCTAAGGTTGATAGGAAGGGAGTTCCAGAGAATAGGAGCGTTGGCTGAGAAGGCTCTGGTCCCCATGGCTGTCTTGGAGTCTGGCACTGAGAGTTGGCATTTGCTCTGTGATCTGAGAGTTCTGTTTGGTTGGTAGTGATGATGGATGAGGTCTTTGTGATATTGTGGTGATTGAGGATCGTTCAGAGTGGAGTAGGTGATGTACTCTCAAACTTGTTATGTAGAGAGTTGGTTGATTGTGACAGTTGTTGTTTCCCTTCCTGCTGTAGGGATTTGATGGAATGAAACAACAACTGATTCAGCACCCTATGGCATGAGTTTGGGTGTCCTTTTGCGGCATGGTATCACAGTGCGCTTGTACTAAAAACCGGCATTAGTCAGGACTAGTAAATGCGCAGCATACACTTACGTACGTATGTACGTACGTACGCATTCGCAAGTGAAGGTCGAATGTGAGTGAAAAACATCTTGAAACGCGATCTTAAACAGCATTTCCTCAACCACTCCCTTACCCCTAGCCTCACTTCACCTCACCCTACAATGGCCAATATGAAAATCCCCAAAACAATTAGTACCCAACTTCATCTTCAAAGTTAAACTCACCCACTATTATAGGATACGTCTCACCCACACTAATAGGAGGCGGCACGAAAACAATTGTTTGGATAATATCAAGCAAATCAAGTTCCGTGTCCCACGATATACTGCAAACGTTTATATTCAGACGAATTCCATTAAGGGCTTTCATACTTCAGAGTGGTAATATTGGAATCACCAGAAAACGGTAGATGGAACAGTGCCTGGTTTTATGTATGGTTAGGGAGAATATATTGAAGTGGCCATCACCATAACCCGAATCCGTTACAAATTCTGCAAGAATTCCTGGATATTAGTAGAAGAAAATGCACATGTTTCTTTCCTTGCTGAAAAGTAGACGACTCTTTGGTTGGGTCCGACGAACATAAAGCTGTTGAAGATCAATACACCAACCATTTATGACAGCCTCTCTGAGAAAATTGCTTCGCTGTCACGATAGAAGGTTTTTATGCCTGGAGCGTTTAGTCCCAGATCTCGAATAAAATATAGGCAAAGCTATAACCTCAGAATTTGCCAGCGATTACACGAATAAAGCATGGTGGTTTGGGAAAGGGCGATTGTACGAAATGATCCTAGCGATAGAGTTTTTCATTGAAATTCCTCGACTTCTCGTCGACTAGGTCCATTGAAAGGAGTAGTTGTTTGAGCAGGAAAATGGCAAGATGATTTATCAGTTCAAACATTACTCGCCCTTCATTCTAAGGTTCGGCCTGGAGTTTAACCCTCCTTGATGAAGAGGGAACACGATGTCTGATGTTTTTGTGTTCATCAGAATGGCAGGTCTTTGCGCAGTTTATCCGTCAGAATTTCGTGGCGTGTTCCCATCCCAGAGTTATTGTTCTTCATTAATTGAATGTCTAGACCGCTATAAGTAGACACAATATGCCAATGCTGTATCAGCCAGCTTGTCGCACAATCCAAGTCTGTTAACTCTCTATTTGGTTCCATGCCTCTTCAAGAGATTGTTCCACATCAAGTACAACGTTCAAAGCAAACATATTTGGCACCGTTGCTCCAAGCGTGAATCACAGTCAAGGACTTCACGTGGCCATTGGCAACCTATGCTGAACTTCCAACCATTGGACCGTCTCCCTGGTGTAGTGGTTAGAGCGTCCGCCCAGAGAGCGGAAGGTCGCGGGTTCGATCCCCGACCGCGTCATACCAAAAGACGTTAAAATATGGTACTTGTTGGTCCCTGTCTGGCGCTCGGCATTAATGGGTATATCAGGGACTGGTCGGCTCGGATTCAGTATAATGTGTCTGAGTGCTTCACTGCGGCATGGTATCTCAGTGGGCTAGCAATATAAAACCAGCTGAAGTCTGGGCTAGTACAAGCAGGCGCACATACACATACACACGCATGTACGTCGTCATATGAGCGAAATATTCTCAAGCACGACGTTAACCCCAATTTCACCTCACCTCACCTCCGACCATTGATTAGACAAATATGTGTCATATTACTAATCTTAAGTAGTGTTTTCTTCCAACTGATCGAGGTACTTGTCAGTTATGTTTTTGATGATCTACCTTCGTCGTCATCTGCATTGAAACATCATAATTAGGTCCGCCCACTTGTCTTATGGTTGTAAGTGAGTAAGTGAGTTTAATCGTACGCCGCATTTAGCAATATTCCTGCAATATCACGGCGGGGGACACCAGAAATGGGCTTCACACATTGTACCCATGTGGGGTATCGAACCCGGGTCTTCGGCGTGACGAGCGAACGCTTTAACCACTGGGCTACCCCACCGCCCCTTTATGGTTGTAGCACAGATGCTCCGATTCAATGAGTCACATGTACCAAAACCTCAGATAGGAGGTATTGTAAAACTTGGATGGAGATCGATTTGCAAAATATCGGTTTGGCAAAACCTTCTAAGTGAATTGTCAATAAATTTTTGTGTTTTTGTTTCGCAATATGCCGTGAAATGAACAACATGTGTTTGACATTTACTGACATCCCATCAAGTCAAATTGTGTTTAATAAATGTCTTCCTACTTTATTAAATTCAAGAAATCAATATTGACGAACAGTGTGTAGTCTATGCACATCCTTTATATATTTCTTGGCAATGTAATATCGTCCAACAAACCGCGTAAAACTTCATAACTATTATGGACTTACGAGAAATATTGAAGATTGTCAACAAGGCAAATTGCCTGGAATTTGATCCTATTCAAGAGTCACTTAAGACTGACACTGACGAAAATAATCATTAAGAGTAGTTGTAAAGGAAACATGTTAACAGAGAAACCGCCCTATGTGTCCATCATGACTCGGAAAGTTCATCATATATTAACAAGCCAATCCACTTAGTGAAAATACTCCGTCTTTTAATTTCCTTAATGCTATCTTCCTCAAAACATGTCATGTTTTTGAAGGCATGTTTTAAACTTAAAATGAATAGAACTGTTGTGTTCAAAGATCAAGGGCAGAGTGTTGATCTGTTTGAAAACACTCCCTACTTGAAGCTGTTGTCATCAGTCGTATTTCAATCATCACAAAAATATTTCCTTTTTGTGATTTGATGCACGTGAACGTTTATCCAAAGCGCATGACTTCATCTTATAAAAGTATAATTTACTTAGCTACCTATGCATTTAAACATATTGGTAAGATGTACATACAGACCTACCATATCATTACTCGGGAGGTCAAACGATAAATAATAACTACCTATCTACTACTTACATATATTTAACGTCAAGAGACCGTCCCCAGTTGGTTTTGTTCATGAAATAAACATGGGCAGAGAATGTCGGTCTCTTATTAAACGTACATAACCGCTCTGTTGAATAGTACATGCGTATATAATGGCGAATCAAACACTGCCTTAAACGTGAACATCTCCTCCGAAATATGTACCGAGATCTTGACTTAACTGTAATCAGCCGTAGCCGTATGGACTGGGTGAACTTGTAACAATTGAAAAGAACTTAAAGATCATTTTCCCTGTTTACTCGCCAGGGAAAACAGTTTAAACGTTAGATTTTTTATTTGATTGTGGTAACTACATATTAGTAAGGTATGAGTGATTTTGTAGCCGATGTGTAGTTGTTGTAGTTTGTGTCGTTGTTGTCCTCGTTGGACTCCACATTTCGGAAACTAAAATGCATGAATTTGAAATCTCGCATGGATAATCCTGCAATGGGATTTTCTCGCATTTTTATACATTATCCCTAATGGAGCCATATTGAAAAGATTACTAGTCCGTTACTCGGTCCTTTGTGAGCAACATGATTGATTATTTTCAACCGTACTATGACCTCATCAAGCTCAAATCAAGTGATTCTGGTAAAATTTGCATTGTTCTCTCTTAAGCGGAGATGTATTGTAACAACAGAAGCATCTCCTTCCATTAGCATGGCTCGTGAACATCTGGGTTAAACTGGACATAAGCAACCTGTGCTTGTCAGAAGAGGCGACTAACAGGATCGGGCGGTCAGGCTCGACGTCTTGGTTGATACAGGCATCGTATTCCAATTGCGTAGATCAATGCTCATGCTGTTGATCACTGGATTGTCTGGTCCAGACTAAATTATCTACAGACCGCCGCCTTATAGCTGAAAAGTTGCTAAGTGCGGCGTTAAACAACAAACAAGACAGTCCAGAGGCCCAGATAAGCTGCGTATCCGGGTAAAATACGCATAGAAAATTTCCAATTGCGCATTGAAAAATAATTGTTGCATACCATTTACGCATTTAAAATGTTAGATACACAACAAGTTTAAAACAAACGCGTACGGAATATATTTATAAAAATCGCTTGCGTAATGAAAAAGACATCGATTGCTATCAAGTTGTACTGTTAGTATAGGACTAGTGTTGTACTGTCAGTAGAGGATGAGTGATGTTTTTATGAAATCATTTCCATTATATTTAAGTTGGTTTTGATTAGGTATGATATAAGGCAGGACATACCTGCTTAGTAAACTTACTCAATGACATATATACTTAGGTGAGTAAAATGACTGAAATACGCACATATTTGAAAGCAGTGGGTAACGGAAAATGAAATACCCACTCAACATTCATAATACCCACTCCAAAAAAATACAGTGGGTACAGTACCCACATGAGCTAAATCTTATCTGGAGCTCTGTAAGACAACATCATTTGACGTTATAGATATATGAAAAGTTGAGTCGCAGCACTATGTTAAATCTATTTGGATATGACTCTGAAACGACTGTTTACATGACCTGACTGCTTGTGTCCCCAGGTTATTGGCTGTGCGTCGCTTGGCGTGGGGGTATGGCTTCTTGTCACCGACTTCGGCGCGAGGAAAGTCACCCCTATTGTGGATAACCAGCTGTATGAAGTGACGACATACCTCCTCATCGCCGGGGGTGGGGCTGTAGCCCTCCTAGCCTTCTGTGGGTGCTGCGGCACAATACGAGAAGATAAATGCGTTTTATCATTTGTGAGTATACTATTATCACATTACGAATTTTATTTGTACAACATACCCAAAACGTTGAGTTTAGAGTAATTTTTTAATGTGAAATGTACAATGATGGTGATCGCAACATGTTTAATTGTGGTTAAATGCATAAATGGAACATTATTTAGATGACATTATATTCTCAATGTAATTCGCCTATTGCTGGTGTCCCCCGCCGTGATATTGCTGGAATATTGCTGGAATATTGCTAAAAGCGCGTAAAACCATACACATTCACTCACTCACTCAACGTAATTCAACATGAACAGGTGGTGGGAATGGTCGTATTTTGAGTACAATGAAACCCCATTAATCCAAATACTGCACATTTCGAACAGTTGCTAATGTAATATAACTATGCTATTTCTCGTTAAAACGAGGATTCGGATTTCATTTGCAACATTGTTATCCTGATATAAGAGGTTTCACTATGGATGTAAATATATACCTGAGTTTCACCGCGAGAGGAGATATACTCACGGGTTTCACTGTGAGCCTATGTACATGACCGTTTGGCCATGATTTTGTTGAAGCACTGTTTTTCAGTTATTTACCTTTGGAGCAGCGGTTTACATGTATTTTTTTTTATTTCAGTATGGCACAACGTTAGCTATAGTATTAATAATACTGGGCGTGGCGTCAGGCTTGTCGTTTTTCTTCCGGGGCGCGGTAAGTATAACTTAAAACTCTGAGAATGAAACAATCACTTAACGTTAATCTTTACCATATAATGATGTTATGCATTAAATTGTATAGCTTATTTCCTATGTAGTATTGCGCAAAAGCGCAGAATTATTAACCTAAGCAGCCGGTGAGGCGCAAGAAAGTCAATAATCACTTGACTTATCCCATCGGGTACCCATTTTCTGCTGGGTGAACAGAGGCAATTTTGAACAGATTCACTTGGTGAGACCACGAGTATCACATGTGCTTCGTTGTTGGGCAGGACTGAAGTCTTAGAAACTCTCAGGAGTCAAGCTGCCAGACACGGTCACCCATCCAAGGACTCTCGGCGCTCAACGTTGCTTAATTTCAACTGACTGTGACCTGAGCTCCATGCACAGGACCTCACACCACCACTTATACAACTTATTGGGGCACGAGTCGTCTGGGATGCTGCAATATATTATGCAGAGTTGCGTCCCCCGGGCAGCAAGACCTATGATCTTGGGTTCGAATCCCGGTTCGTGTATATCTAGGTTTCTCTGCGCCATAACTTGCCCGAGGATTTCATCTACATGTAAAAGGAGCGATAGGGTAGCCCAGTGGTTGCAGACTTTGGGTTTGATTCTCTCGATTCGTGTGAAGCCCGCTCTGGAGTCCACTGCTGTCAAATTGATAGAATATTGCTAAAAGCAGCGTTAAACCAAACTCACTCACTCACCCAAGTATTCGCTCGTCATTCGAAAGGCCTATGTTGGTTTCACCACATGACTACAACGTGTGAAACCCATTTCTGTTGATTCCAACTATCACATTGCTGTAATAGTCTAAAAACCGCGTAAAACATTACTCACTGATTTTATCAATTGTTTCTTTCAGCTTGCTTCTCACATAAAGTCCCGTATGCGCGACACGTTAACGGAAAAGTACGGCATAGGTACACGAACGTTACCTGAACACAAGCGCATTACGGAGGCGTGGGACTCCATGCAGCGACAGGTACGGCTCCAACGACGTGGTCGACACATTTCCATACACCATCATCCCCTAAATGTGTTAACGGTTTCGTATATAACAATTACCTTATGAAATGTAGCATGTTCGACAGAACCTGGTTAATTCGGTGTGAAGCCCATTTCTGATGTCCCCCGCCGTGATATTGCTGGAATATTGCTAAAAGCGATGTAAAACAATACCCACTCACCCGCTCGTTAATTTGGACGCTATATTGCACTGTGAAATCTTTCTTTCGGATTAATGTCTACCTGAATTTGTAAATCCTAGATTCTGTAGTTGTCAATTTATTTATCACACACTTATATTGTGGATCTTCCAAAACGGAGTTTAATTCCAGAAGAACGAGGTTTCATGATGGATTTCTTTAATGAATAGCAGGGGTTTCCAAACTAACGGGGTTTAGGCTAACGATGTTTCCGTGCTAACGGTTCCTTTACGGGCAAACGGGTTTTCTCGACTAACGGTTTTTGACAGAAAAACATGCGTTTAGCAACTAACGGTCTGACAATGTGCTGTTAAGGGACTATCGGGATCTCTTGACGAACGATCTAGATTTAGGGGTTTCCTTTCTAAGGTGGTTTACAGACTAACGGGTTTCACTTTAGTTACATTATCCGTGATTTCCCGATCCCTCTTTCAGCTCGGCTGCTGTGGCATCTCTGGCAACAGCACTTCAACCGATTCCTGGGCATTCTATTCCACTAACACTTTGTGGTATAATGAAATGCAGAATGACCGTAAGTATAACTGTAAATATTCAGTGCAAGTAAAGGTTCAAGTAAATGTTCAATACAATAAGTGTTCAATGCAAAATAAATGTTCAGTAGAAATTAATGTTCAATGTAAATATATGTTCAGTGTGATATATATCAGTGCCAATAGATGTTCAGTGTAAATGTAGATGTTCAGTGCAATTAGATGTTCAGTGTAAATGTAGATGGTCAGTGTAAATATATATCTTTACTTTTAACAAGTCCTCAATTCAAGAACCGTTACAGGTCGGGTTAGAATGAACCTTCAGTAACCCATGCTTGTCGTAAGAGGCGGCTAACGGGATCGGGTGGTCAGGCTCGCTGGCTTGGTTGACACATGTCATCGGTTCCCAATTGCACAGATCGATGCTCATGCTGTTGTTGATCACTGGATTGTCTGGTCCAGACTCGATTATTTACAGACCGCCGCCATATAGCTGGAATAGTGCTGAGTGCGGCGTAAAACTGAACCCACTCACTCACTCCTCAATTCAAATCAATACTCAATGCAACTTATTCTTCCTGTGCATATATAGTCACTGCAATAAACTCGCTCACTCTGCTTGATTCGTTCGTTGTTTCCACACTGTGTATTCTTTCCTACTGTAGTGCAAGGCATTTATTACCATACATCTTTTGTCCCATTTATGTTTATTTGAAACCTGTATTTGTAACCCTCACAGTCTTGCGTTTTCTATATTCATTTTGTTTAGTTATATTTCGCTCAGCATTGGTACCATTGACTGAAGAATCTTGTTCTCATTCTATAGTCCTGCTGCGAGGAATTTCAGAATGCAATACAATTTGGAATTGAAAATATATTATCCATAAAAACATCAAAATTAAAGGTTTGGTTAAAAACAGACTGAAGCTGACGTTTTTCCAAAACGCTTAGTGTCCCAAAAGTTTGACAGAAACAAGGATTTCTATTTACCTGTAAAAGAAACCCAGTGAGATGGGAGCTCCTCAATTTGCTTGTCAGCAGGAAACTGAAAAGATATTGAAAACCAAACTCCGTCCCGCATCATACCTCACCCGCACCCTTCTCTAAACACATGGCGCCAATGCTAGCTGACTGCTCTACGTATCCTTCAGTTCATCTGTTGTGCTCTTTTTGCTTGCTTTTGTTTCGTTGCTTCCCACTAACGTTATGTCTTGCGTGCTGAAATGGCGCGGTCATCAGACAAGGCTCGTTTTCCATCAGAAGGTAAAAAGCTCCAGAAGGTGCCAGACAGCTGCTGCCGGGAGGGGGACAAGGCCATCTGCACGGGACAAACCTACTTCCCCGGACCCCCCAACCATCTCAACCCTCAGAAGGAGAGGTTCAAAAAGATAAACCCCCACCTCTACACCACAGTGAGTACTGATCGAGCCTATACTGACTGACTGACTGAGTTTGGTTTTACGCTGCTTTTAGCAATATTCCAGCTACATCACGGCGGGGGACACCAGAAATGGGCTTCACACATTGTACCCATGTGGGTCTTCGGCGTGACGAGCCAACGCTTTAACCACTAGACTACCCCACCGCCCGATCGAGCCTATAAGCCTGGTTGGTTTGTTGTTTAACGCCGCACTTAGCAATATTCCAGCTATATGGTGGCGGTCTGCACCAGACAATCCAGTGATCAACAGCATGAGCATCGATCTACGCAACCACGTCAGCGAGCCTTACCACCCGATCCCGTCAGCATGGGTTACTGAAGATCAATTCTAACCCGGATCTTCACGGGCTATGATAAGGCTGACCAGCTCTGGGCGATTGCAGTTAAAAAAGATACCCATGTGTGGATCATGACTGCGTTAATTGTCGTCATAATATCAAAGGTTTTGTTAATTCGAGATTTGACCGGACGCTGTGATACAGCTTGAATATTGATTATTGCGATGATTTTTAAAAAAACACCCACCAGCTCATAGAGTTACATTACCGTCATGAAGGTAGGCCTTCATCAACCCATGCTAGTCGGAAGAGGCTTGGTTCGTTTTGGGTTGTAGCGTTGCAGCGCTGAGCGAAAGGGAAAATAATCAGCGCATGCACTTGATTTCACCTGGGTTCAGGGTGTGAAAGAGGCGGTGGGATAGCCTGATGGTTAATGCGCTCGCTCGTCACGCCGAAGACCCGGGTTCAATTCCCCACATGGGTACAGTGTGTGAAGCCCATTTGTGGTGTCCCCGCCGTGATATTGCTGGAATATTGCTAAAAGCGGCGTAAAACTAAACTCACTCACTCACTCACGAGATGCTGAAATGTCAATCTGACACGCTAGACACACGTTACCGAGGGGTTAGAGTGAGAGATGTGGAGCGTTTGCTGTTAGAAATAACAGAAAAAATCCCACACTATTGGTAATCTGGATCCTAAAGCGGTTGCTCATCTTGCCCAGTGTTCGAATCCGCCCATTGTCACAGTGTGGGACTTCCAGGTCTGATCTCCTTATTGGTGAAATCACAGTTTGCTCTGATAATCATGCCAAGCCTGTGGCTCATGTCGAAATATCATCATCATCATCATCATCATCATATTATGTTATTCGTTTTTCAGGGCTGTTATGACCAGCTGATGGAATATTTGTTGACCTATTCCGCCGTTGCTGGCATAGTCTCTGCAATCGTGCCGATCTTTTTGGTAAGTTTAGTCTTAAGAAAAAATTTACACTAGTACATAGAACCTCGAAAATGTGTTTGGTGCTTATCGCTTCTATGGAGGGACAAGTATCATTTGGCTACAATAGTTTCAAGTCTGTTTTGAGCTCTGACAGTGGAGTTATTCATATTTTAGTCTCTTTTTCTACAAGTGAGCCGTATAATATGTTCTTTCATAAAACCCCCACCCCCGTCCAAGCTTTAACTCACATTACGTTAAGTCAAGCTCATATCGGACCTGGGGCGGTGGGGTAGCCTAATGGTTAAAGCGTTGGCTCGTCACGCCGAAGACCCGGGTTCGAATCCCCTCATGGGCCCAATGTGTGAAGCCCATTTCTGGTGTCCCCCGCCGTGATGTTGCTGGAATATTGCAAAAAGCGGCGTAAAACCAAACTCAGTCAGTCAGTCATATCGGACCCGGTGCCATCAGGGTTGTTCATTGGTAATTTTTACATTTTGAACATCTCCTGTCTAGGATAAGTACCCGACATGACACAAGAACATGCTCAAATGATTTTGTTTTGATTGACATTGTCTTCGTATATTTCAGATCTTTGGTATCATAATGTCATTCTGTCTGTGCGTTAGAGTAAGTGGTACGTCACCGGACGACGAGGTAGAGTTATAGGCCTTTGAAGGTACTTTCCGTCCAATCAGGCAGTGCCTACTTTATGCAAATGAGGACACGTGACACTCAAACATTAACCATGATCAAAGATGGCTGACATGATGGAGATAATTCGGTTGAGGAAACAGTTGTCCGGAACTTGTGGATTAAGGCGTTTTAAAGATGCAACATCTGTGATGACACAAGTCCGGAGCGGTTATAAGACGTAAACTACTTTAAAAGAGGCGGATCCATGGAACGGAAGGAGTTTTTATATCAGATTCATCGAAGCGTTGCCGGGAGTCCAGATTCGGATGGTTCCACCGACAGACTTGAACAAGGGATGAAGCCTGTTCCCATATTGTGTTTTCAGTATATTGTGCGCTGCCGAACTTACACATGTTACAAATTTATGAATATGCGACAATGAGACTGATGATTGTTATTATTATTATGTGTTTTCCAATCAATTCACCGTATCCTGCAACATGACGATTCAGGGAATTGCTGTAAGCAACTTTTCCCTTACATTCAAGTCCACTCTTTCTCACATTCCCAGTCAGTTGCCTTCATGGAAAAATGGCCCATCTACTCGGCAGCCTGTACCAGACATTCCCCCACGTCTCGAGGGGCTTCCACATCCGGGCCTTGCACGCATGCGCAGAGTGCATATGATAAGAAAAAGTGACAGGCCGGCAAGAAATAGTACAGCGTGTTTTGTTTGTTTTTCCATTGCTTAGCCTCGGGTGAAAGGATTTTCTTTTCGTAACATAACATGTTGATTTTGTATTCAAGGTTTAGCGTTTCTAAATCGGGCTTTCTTAATGAAACTGTTTTCCGGAATAATGTCATTGTTCCTGTTTGTGATATGCTAGTCTGGTTGCTATGTTCCTGACATCGTAGAACCGTCGGCAGAACAGTTAAAACTAACAAACTAACACACAGAATGGTGGCATTTACGTCGCAAACAAACTTAAATATAATACTGTCATATCCTTAATGTGTAAGCATTCCCAGAACTGTATTCATTTATTATCCCAAAAATATCAGGCTGTGTCTCCTTGGAGATGAGGCTGCCATGAAATAACATTGCTTCGTGTATCATAGTGACGTCATCGGTTTTCATTACGTCACTTATTTCTGCCTGTAAAGCCTGTGTGATGTACATTTTATTCTCACGGCCCAGTTTCCTCCTGTTTATAAATATAAAAAAGCTGGAAGAATGATTGAATGCTAATTAGAATCTAACCTCCTGTTTTCCATATTAAATATGTTAACACCCGTGGATAAAAATTAATGTTAACACCCGTGGATAAACTCTTAGACTCCTGGACCTGGTCTGAAGAATCACGATGGGATTCTTCATCCATATTTAATTTATAGACACAGATCGTTAATAGTGATTAGTGATAAGTAGCTACACACGGGTGATTAGTATAATATATACATATATAGTTTAGTTGGTCGTAACTAATGGGTCGAAGAGGATCGGTCGTTAACAATATGTCCTTGAGCTATGACTGTTATAGTATCTACTTACGCAGAATGTCGGAATTGATGTTCGATCCTTTAGCCCAGTGTCCTTCGACCTGTATCAGATGACTTTTCTATTTAGGTTAATAGTGTAAGGTATTTTTAGCATCCCGAATACTGTTCGAGCTCATGTAGAAGATTCATTTATTACCTGTCATAAAACACATCTATCATGATAGTATTCCATCGCTGGTCCAAACCATGTGCTTCATCTATATCTCCATGACAACAGCTTAAACGCTGTGACCAATACGTTTTTACACATAAATTTCATTTCGTTTTTCAAGTGAATTTGAATAATTTTTTTCTAAAACTAAGACATTTGACTATTTCATTCTACTTTTCTATTTTAATATTTCCTGTCCAAAAAGCCTGATCCGTAATTTAATATGTGCTACATAGCAGTGTATATTATCTGTTCATAGGGGCTTGCGAAATCGGCTGAGGCACACAATTCGATTTGCAGAGTACGGTCCCTTAGACCTAGCAGGAACCTATGATCGCCAGATTCGCCCTGACCGTGTTTGTCCGAGCTTTACCCAAATGGCGGATGTCACCAAAATAGATAACTACAGACAACCTCAGCTTATATACCCGCAATTCTGTTCATATCGGCGTTTAACCAATCTCCTATTCTACCTTTTATTTATACAACTGATATTTGTTGAGATGAAATGGCTTTGTGTTCTGTAGAATATTCCTAAATTAAACGGTAAACGTGCAATCATACTCTCGTGATAACTGATTTGAATATACATTATTCTGTTTATACCAAAGGCATGCCTCTATTTATTTCTGTAACCATTGCAACGTGGAGCTCTTATTGTTTGATCATTATGACAAGTACTTTTGCTTCTTTAATGAAAGAGTTCCTTCGAGACTTATTTACTCAAGATTTATTGTTTCCCAAATTTTCAACATTACATGTTGTATTTCTTATAATAGCCAGCTTAAGAATGTCGAATTTCTGACTTAGCTATACTGTAGTCAAAACCATCTACTTAGGCATATTTCCACATATGTATTTCGACAATTCACTTTGAATAAGCTACTTTGTATGTATTCGTAACAACGTGTATTGGCTGCACAAAAATACATCTGTTAATCCATATATAGATCCATAAAAATACATCTGTTAATCGATCTATAGACAGGTCCATAGTATTAACAAAACCGGGTCCGTTTACATTGAGGCGCTATGATGGCCAGCTCCGTAGTGTTCATCTGTCGTGAGTGTCGTTTTTTCATCCATATGTACTGAATTGAATTAAAATTGAATAATTTCAACTTTGAAAATGCTGTTTTATTTCAGAGGTTTACTAACGAGATGTGTATGATTCGAGTTCCGAAAGCCTTTCAACACAGATGTACACTGAGACACCTGTTTGTTTATATTTGACATGTGCACCATTAATCAAACTTTGTAATTTGTGATATTTCATTGACTTACGTAGTTGGTATTGTAGAACTGGTTTGTTAATCACACCTTTATATTTAGTTAGTGTTTTCTTTGTTTCCTCATCGTAAGAATTAAGGGTGTTGACGATTACCTGTTTCATTGTTTCGCCTTCCAATGTTGCTGGTGAATTTCTGTAAAATGTACAGTTCATGTCTAGTCTAGTCATAAGTGACGTCATCATAGGTCATGCGCTGCTAACTCCGTGTGCGCATGCGCATCATCACTGTACTTCACATTGTGTACAAAGTTTCATGCCACAAAGGTTTCTTATAAATACACATATGCACGATTCGGAGAAAAAATTACAACACGGTGCGTTTAGGTAATTGGAAAAATATGGAGAATTCAAGGAATGGATGAGACCAGATATGTCCATATTACGCGACACGCTTGTTATTATCGATGTGATGTCCGAAAATCCACCTCAGCTTTCACAATGTTAATTGTAACTCAAAACTCCGAACACTGCATCTATGTGTGGAGCTCATTGAGGCACGACATCACGTCGAATATTCGTTATCTCATAATGAGAATTTACCTGAATTTCTAAATCAGTCGCCGTAATCCATCATCCAAATGACGGTGCATGTGAAGAAATACTAACTCTTACCATCACTTTGTTAGGTTTCTATGTGAAATATTCTTGACATGACCTAACCCAGTAACCAAGAGTGTAGCGACATGCTTGGGTGACTCGACCGGTAAATCGAAGCTCCTCACAGCGATAGCCCGTTCGTGTAGTCTGCTTTACTATGATACCATGTGTCACGCGCTGGGATGGAGCTTTGTGTGGAATCTTATAAAGGGAGGAAACTCTTATTCACTATCTAAGGGAGGCTACTCTAACCAAAGAGATATGCACCGTTTGAGACATCGTGAATAAAGGATTGGGGTGACATCACCCGAAGCTATGATGTTTGTTACAAGTAAAGGGACCAAACCGCAACTAGCTTTGTTTAACCACAACATATGAAGCAGTGGTGTTGACAATAGCTTATGGTGTGATCGGAGGGAGGTGTTTGTGATTAATATAATATAATATGTTGGATGATGACGTTTTTGTACAAATTAAATTTTCCTGAACTCTTATGACAATTAAGAACTTTAAGAGGAAATAAAAAATATTTTGATATTAGAAACGTTGTGTGTTTGTTTTGTAAGTAGCGAAGCAGTGGACGAAGGTTTGTTTTGTTGAAGATCATATGTAACAATACACCACAATTCACGGCTTGGACTGGGAACTCAAAATATTTTCTTTAAAATGTTTCTTTTATGCTCGTCATTGCTTTAGATTAAAAAGGAAGACGACACAAAACACGAAGCTCATTTCGCCTCTACCCCTGACGATCCCAGACAGAATTATATTAGTCTTCAGCAGCCCATGTTCGGAGGATGGGACTAACGGGATCGGGTGGTCAGACTCCTTGACTTGGTTGACACATGTCCTCGTATCCAAATGTTTATATCGATGCTCATGCTGTTGATCACTGGATTGTCTGGTCCAGACTCGACCGCCGTCATATGTCTGGAATATTGCTAAGCGTGGCTTTAAAAAAAACAACAACCAAACATTACATCCGTATTAGGGCGATGACGTTTTTTTGTTGTAGCCACCCTCAGCTTCTCGTGTAAACGCGGGAAATCGAAATAACGCCATGTAGATTTAATGCACTTAATTTTCTCAAGTATTGTATTTCCATTAACTCGGGGAGGGGGATCCCGTCTGAGTTATTGTATACTCTTCAAAAAAGTAGGTGATCTTGAACTTTCAATTTAGATAGGAAGTATAAGCGTTCGCAAACTTTTCAAAGAGAGACATGTTATGAACGCACCGCCTTTTCTCTTTGTCACCTACCCCTCTAAACACAATGCCAATGCAGAACATTAACTTCAATGTGGTCATGGGGAGGGGGGTTTCGAACACGCACACGTACACTCCTTGGATACGCTAATGCACATACACAACGCAATGGCCCTTCACACGTGAATGGGTAGTCTGTCTCACAGTCCCTGAACCACATTAATTTCCCTACTGCTAAGCCCTCTCTGCAGTGCTAAAGCTCTAAATAAAGCAAGTCTAGATTTCCTCAGGTAAATCTCTGGTCTCCCTAGGGCTCCTTTTCAATATAAAAGGGCTTATTTGTTACTATCAAAATTATATATATTCAGAGACTAAGCCTTAGTCTAGTGAATGGGGTGTCATTCTTGATTTAGACTGTTTTCAGGAGGGTCGATTTTGTTTTGTTTGAAAATTAAAATCGTACACATGCAAGTTTCACGTCATACACCAATCATCTTTCAAGAACGATTACTGTACAAACAACTATGGTCATAAGGACGTGCAAGTGGTGATGCACTCTCCCAACATTCATTATTATCATATCAACATTTATCTCCCAATTTTTTCAATCGTACATTGAAACTGAAGTTCCCCTACTTTTTTAAAGAGTATATACGGCGCTTAATCGAGAAGTTATAGTATGTTTATATTAATGGTATTATTCTCTTATTTAAGTGTCTTGCATGTCTGATTATATCTGCTGTAATTAACAGAATCAATGTTTAAAAAATAGAAAAACGGCAGCCACGAACTCCATACCTTTGTAGATTTTCCAACGTTATTTAAATATATATTCCTATTTACAGCAATTAGCCAAGTTTATTACGTTGCGATTTTTCTTTCATTAATTTGGCTACTCATAGATTTCTTCCAAGCGGAATTAGTTAATCCGAACATGATCAATGAAATTTCCTATTTTCATTGATGTTCTCTAAATGTAACTGTCTCTTTCTACAAAGCGCGTACTTTATCATGGTGTCTTTTGGATGCATTCATTGTGTCGTCTGCTCGCTCATCCGGGACATTAATGTGTCGGACAGGAGAGTATCCGTCTTCCGGTTGGGCTCAGAGCGCGTGCAAGGGAAAATCAATCTAATGTCATGTTGTAGAATACCGTTAGTCCTTGATCCGACAATTGGTGGTACCGCGAGATATTGCATCATATATCACCCTTTTCTGATCGAAACTCATGCATTTTGTATAACCTTGTCA